AAAATGACAACAAGCTATCACATAAGCCAAGAGACATGGAAAGGGTGTGAAAGAGAGAAGGACAAGGTGATAAAGGCCTGTAATCCCAGCCACTCAGGAGGTAGAGGTAGGAGGATCACTGTCTGAGGCTGGTCCAGACTGGAGAACCTATCTGAAAAACAAACTAAAAGAAAAAGTCCTGAATGGGGAATTGCTCAAGTGATAGTGTACTTGCCTAGGAAGCTTAAGGATCTGAGTTTAATCTCCAATACCATCCCTCAAAAAGCAGGAAGGAAAAGGGTAAAAGAGAAAATACTAAGATCACAGAAGGGCTGGGGGAAGTGGCTCAAATGGTGGCGTGACTGCCTAGTAAGTGTGAGGCCCTGAGTTCAAACCCAAGTACCACCAAAAAATGAAATAGGTAACAGAACTCAGGACAAATAATAAGCGACACAAAACCTAAATGGTATTAGGCAGTGGTGAAAGTTAATATTATAGTTCGGGAGAAACTTGTTTTTCCTATTAGAAATAAGTAGAAGTGATTTCATGAGAGTAATAAGGCAGGGAACTTATAAAGTAAAAGTGAGGCTCAACATGCTTATGGAAGAATCTGGGCGTTCTTTTCATTCTGTTCATATTATCCTGAGCACATAAAGAAATCCCAGTTTAGAAATTGAATTGCAATACCTGATTTCACCAGATGATGGCAGAATAGAGCCAAAACTAATGAACAGTGCTAGTTTATACTTTTCTCCCAGGAGTTCACAAGAAGACTAACGAGATATGTCTAATTAGTAGCATTGTCAAAAATCTTTTTATTTGAAAACGATATTAGAACGGCGATATTATTGCTTCATTGATTTGCTTGTCAGTCTGTTTGTTGGCGAAAGGGAAAGGAGAATGGGGAGAACTCCGCCTTGGGACATAAATTATCACACAGAAGTTCCTTGTCACATGAAATTGACATAAGAAATTAACGATGAACTTATCACAGAAACTGTTAAAATCAATCTGAGTTCATTTGTAAGAACTTTATTAAAGTTGAGGAGAAAAAAACTAAACAACCACAACCTTCCATTCAAGACCCTTAAATGTTAGAGGAGCACTCAGCAACAAAGAGAGGATTCTTTCCTACTAATGAAAGTTCCCAGCAGGGCGCTAGTGGTTCACACCTGTAATCCTAGCTACTTAGGCTGAGAGCAGGACAGCCTGGGCAAATAGTACCTATCTCCAAAATAACCAGAGCAAAATGAACTGGAAGTGTGGCTCAAGCAGTAGAGTGCCTGCTTTGTAAGTGCCTGCTCTGGAAGTTCAAAGCCCTAAGTTCAAACTCCAGTTCCACCAAAAAGAAAAAATAAAATAAAAAGGTTCCCAGTGTGTATCCTGCTGGCATCTGTGCCTATCCATCTTATCACTCTTTTTCCCATCCCCTTCACCCAACCACTACAAGTGGCCAAGCGCCTGAGATCTTCAATGGAATTTTAGCTGCTGAACAGAGATGCAGTGGGGGGGAAGGGAATGCTGAAAACAGTCTACAGTTCATTTTCAAACTCTGTCTGCTATGTGCAGGCTACCCGGTCCTGGGGTTTCCAAAGTAAATAACACCAGATCCCTGGTCCCTGACCTCTGAGAATTTAAAAAATGTAGGAGTCAAGAGCCACTGTCTACCTCTCCGAACCTCCATCCCACAGGTCCTGCAGGTACCAAGTGATCAACACTCTGACGCTGAGACTCTTTGGCTAGGGGCCAAGCCCCTCCTTGGAGACTCTGACACCTGTTGTCTCCCTCTACCTGAGTGCCTGATCCTTCTTTTCCTGACCACTCATCTGGGTTTCTCTTTGTCCCCTCTGCCCCAGTCTCCCTGAAGTCCAAAGTCCCTGCTGTTCTCCTCTGTGTCTGTGTTGACCCATCTGCCCATCCCAGTGTCACCTCTCCAAGGCCACACTTCTTGCTCTGCTTCAAACCCTCTGTTGCCAGGGCAGTAACCCAGTCCTGCCTTTGGACTTGAAGAATAGTATTTGCCTAAAGGTGTGTCTGAGGGACAATGAAATAACATGTCAAAAGTCTTCACATGGTACTTGGCAAAGTTTGTTTTTTGTTTTGTTTTGTTGCCTTGTTTCGCTACATGATAGGCTGTGCTCTACCACTTTAGCCACATCTCATTCCTTTTTGCTTTAGTTACTTTTCAGATAAATTTTCTTACTTTTGCCCAGGGCAAGCTAGTCTATGATCCTCCTACCTATGCTTCCTGCATAGCTGGGATTACAGATGTATGCCACCATGCCCCACCTGTTTGTTGAGATAGGATCTTTCTAACTTTTTGCTATGGTGGCCCCAAACCTCGATCCTCCCACATAGCTGGGACTACAGATGTGTGACACACATCCTGCCCAGAACAGTAAGTACTCAATAAATATTAGGATAAAATCACATGGTTACATGCTACATCTCTTTGTATATTTTTAAAAACTGTTTTCTAATCATTTAAGAAATCTGATAATATTAGCATTACAAATTCTGGGTTTTTTTTTTTTATTCTTAAGGTTTTTAATGGTAATTGTATAAAACATCCCCTAACTAAGAACCAGTTTTTACATTTGAGTTGCCAGCCCCCAGTTCCTGGAGGGCTGCTTATTCAAGCATCTCCATTTTCAATTACTTCCCTCTGCCACTTGACTTTTTTTAATTGCATTTCTTTCTTACTGTAGACTTGAAGCAAATAACGTCAATTTAAAATTTTCAAGGTGGATATACATGTGAAATGAAAAGTAAACTTTTCCCTCTCATCCAAAACTTCCTGTTTTTTTCCTGGAAATAATCAACAGCTTTGTCCAGTTCTTACCAATCTTTCAAACTTCCAGACAAGGAGATCGTATTGTGACACTCCTCTGCATCCAGCTTTCTCATTTAACACAATGACAAATCACACAACATAACAGATTTACTGCCTCATGGTGAATAGCTGCATAAACTGCAACCCTTTGCGTACCTGCAACACCCTATGAGATACCCTGCTACAAGGCATCTACTTACAATTCCTGTTTACTGGAATTGGGGACTGGGGAGATATGAACTCAGGGCTTCATGCTTGCAAAGCAGGCCTCAACTGCTTGAGTCACACCTCCAGTCTATTTTGCTCTGGTTATTTTGGAGATGGGATCTCAAACTATTTGTCCAAGCAATCCCCCTAATCTCAGCCACCCAAATAGGATTACCGCTGTGAGCCAGCACACCTGGCATTTTTAATTTGAATAGTTATCACTGCCTCCCTCCCCCCCCGCCCCCCTCCCTGCAATGAGATGGCACTGATGAGTATCTGCATTCTTTCAGTCTCCCACCATATGTATTGTGCAAGTTGTAAATTATTCCAATCTGGTAGGTGGAAAAGTACTGTCTCTATTGTTTATATCTGGTAAAATTTGCATGAAATTGAGCATTTCTTCATGTACTTATTACTTATCTGCATTTTTATGAACTAGCTGTCAAAATACTTTTTGTCCATTTTGCTTGTCCATTATTTTTCTTAGTGTTCACTCTCTATTAGTAGAGTTGACCCGTAATTTGTCCTATGTAACGCAGTGTTATAACTGAAGAAAAAATATTTGTAGCCCTAATTACACATTCATGTTTATCTATACACAGATAGCTATTTTATAGAAAGCCTAAGACAGAAAAATAAAATAAGACTAATTTTATTATTATAGTGGCATTATCTATATCTTATTATTATAACTAATACAATGAATTAAGTAATATCAACTAATGATATTGGTTGATTTACTGTATTTGTCCATTCATATCAGTGATTCACAGACATAATTTATAATATTCTAATCTTTATGTCATTTTATAAAAATATCCTGTATTAGGAGCCAGGTGCTGGTGGCTCATACCTGTAATTGGGAGAATTGTGGTTTCAGGTCAGTCCACGCAAAAAAAGTTTGTGAGACCTCATCTGAATAGAAAAAAAGCTTAGTATGGTGTCACACACCTGTCATCCCAGTGACTGCAGAAACTTAAAATAGGAAGATAGTGGTCCAGGCCAGCCTGGGCAAAAAGTGAGACCACCATCTTCAAAATAACCAGAGAAAAAAGAGCTGAAGGCCTGACTCAAGCAGTAGGGCACCTGTTTATCAAACACAAAGCCCTAAGTTCAAACCCTAGTACCACCAAAAATAAAAAATAAAATAAAATATACTGTAGCAGGGATCAGGCCATGTGTACCTTGCCTAAATCTGAGTTTTGGACTTTACCTCTCTTAATGCACTGCTTATGAGTGTGTTGTGGTGGAAATGTAGAGTCATTAAGATATTTCACTAAATAATTATAGAAGAAACCAGTGAAAAAAGAGTTCATAGTTGGAAAAAGAAGTAAGATGAACACACACCTTTTGTAAACTCTGGTGGGTGATGAATGTTAACATTAAAAACATACCTACTGTCTAATTCTGCAAAATTTCCATTTTTCAGTAGTAATGTCCCAATAACAGTGTCACTTTCTGATGGACAGAAATTGTATCATAAAGTTCTTTACATGACCCACAATTAGCAATTTTCCATAAATGTTTGCAGACTAAATGTAAATTAGTGGTACTTGCAACTATATTGTTACCTGGTTAACACCATAAAATGTGTCTTAAAAAGAATTCAGTAATTTCACAATAAATACATTTATTCAGCAAATCTAACTATATCTACTGTGTCTCTAATTCATCGTTCTTTCATATATTTATTTCTTATTTTTATATTATGTTTCACTTTATCTGCTCAACTTCTAAGAGATTTTCTTCCTTTCCTATTTGAAGTTAACTAAATGTGTCTAGTATTTACTATATTCTTAATCATTTGTAGCAATATCTATTCAGGAAATAAATATAGATATACCAAAAAATGTCAAAAGAAAGGTCAAGATTATCCAACACTACTGACAGGTTCCCATTCCTTTGAGCTTTAGAGTATCCTAATCATGGTGAAATGTCCCCTCTTGACTGAATAGTGTAAATGAAGTTAATGCAGCTGGCTTCAAATTGAACAAAAACATTTTGGAGGTCACCTGCTCACAAAAGTGCAGAGAGTGGAGATCCTGCTATTCCTAGCTCTCTCTGGCTCCACATGTGCTTCACTTTGTAAGAATAACATGATTTGGAAGACTCTGCAGACCTGGGACTCTGAGAGGAGGGTGATGCTCTCCACCTGAGGTTCCGGGAAATGGCTCTCTGGAGGTTCTTCATGGAAGCCCCTGCGGCCATGCTGATGACCCAGGGATGGTCCAGGGCCTGGCCAGCTGACATCCGATGACTAGCCTCCAAAATCAGTAGTTTGTCTATGAAGTCCTTCGCTAAGTGGGAAATACTTGGCCAAGGCTGAGAAAATAAATAAATAAATGAATACACACAAATACAGAGATGCTTAATCTGAGATAGACCAATGCCTATCCAATGACTATCAAATCCAAAATACTTTTTTCAAATTAGCAGTTTGGATACTATGTCATTATAGTTAAAACCCAGTTTTAAGAAAGGCGAAAAGAAAAATACCTATGAACACAGAAATCTTCTTTCAAGCTGACCAGAGAGTGAGAATTCTTTCCAGTCATCTGTCCAGCATGGTACCATCAGCCATACAAGTTCCCACATCACATGTACAGAGCCAGACAAAGCTCAGCCGCATATTTTGGTTGAAGGACATCAATTAGGGAGTAGCTTTCACCTCACCGTGGTCATCTCATACAGTCCCCGTGACCCTGAGAATGAGCTGGAGTGGAAAGTGGGATGGATTGAGGAATCCCCAATTTTCTCTCCCTATGAAAGCTTACTCTGGAGACAGGATGCCTCCACAACCACAGGCTAGAGAGAGAAGGGGACTAACAATAAGGGCAATTCAGAGGATCCTCCTGTAGCAAATTCCTCAAACACACAGGGCACCCTTTGGTCCCAATCAGTTGATACAAATGGAATTCAGCAGGTAGCAGACCTTGGACACAGTAAAATATGCACAACTAGCTGTTGGATGTTTCCCATACTCATTCTGTCAATATACACAGCATTTGCATATATGTTAAGCTCAATTGGAGCAATTAGTAGTGGCATTTGTAAAGACAGGGACAAGTAGGCTATAGCTTTACACTTAAACATGTTTTCTGCATTACCTAGCAACACTTAGAGCATACTTTAAAAAAAATAGTTTTGTAGCCTGGTCCTTTACAAAGGAGAACCATTCAGAAAATTGCCTGTGTATTTGCTGCCTTTGAAACACAATTTCTAATTTATGTGTGTTTTTAAAAGTATATTATCTCCTAGTAAAGATAAGGATATTTTTATAATGTACTGTCTTTGCCTGTGTATCAAAAAGCATAGACATAGACATAACACAATCTCTTAGAGTTGTATTAACCTAGAATTTGAATAACAGGAAAGCAATAAGGGGATTACTCTTCTTTCTTTTCTTTTCTTTTTTTTTTTGTCAGTTAATTTAAGTAAAAGATATGAGAAATACTTATCCCAAAAAAACAGAAGTCATAAAATAAATTAACATATTTGTTAAATATTCAAAAATGGGAGCCCCATCTGGGGCTGACACAATGGTGTGCCCTTGGATTCTGGCTAGACTATTTGGCCCTGAATCCAGACACATTTATCTGGTCTCAAGACTATTTAAATGATTGTTAAATTAGATGTCTCCAATGGGACATTTTAAGATACGCAACTGAATCGTCTGGAAAGAATATAAAATGCGTGCAGAGAGGTTTTTGGAGAGTTCATTAAAATGACTACAAATGAATACACATTAAAAATATAGTTTCAGAAAATAACGTAACTGGTGTGCTAGAAAAAAAGATCTTAAGCCAAAGCTTATTATTCAAACAAGTCTAAAAATTGCAGAATTTCTGAGCCATAAAGAAGGAAGGAAGGAAGGAAGAAAGGGAGGGAGGGAAAAGAAAAACTATGTATATTGGTGACAATTCTCTGACTTGCATTTTTCCTTCTTTCTTTAACATTAGTATATGGTCTTGGTGTGATTTAACTCAAGACTTTCCAATCAAATTTTATGAAAGTATGTTCAAAAGGACAGATTAACTTCTTCATGTCTGCTAGCAGTAAACTAGCAACTAGTAAACTTCCTCAAGTTAAACAGCAGAGATTCTATATATCATCTTTGTATCATAGATACCTAATTCTTTTTTCTTCTTTCTTTCCCAATCAACAGAGCAAACCTTAAATTGTGCTTTATCCCTTCAGCCAAAGCTGAAACTGTCCCCCCAAAAAACCTAATTCCTACAACATACCCCTCAGAAAACATAGCCTAAACAATAAAAACATAATATTAAATCCAGATACTGACGGATCTCTAAAAACATTAGGTAGATAATTTTTTTCTCCTTAACTCCACTAATGACACTGATGATCACAGAATCAAGAAGTGCAAAACAGTCAAGGAGCAGATAACATAGCTACTTTTCCACCCACCATTACAAATCTTCTGAATTAAACTTGACAAAAGTCCTTTCAAGCAGAACATATTTTTATTATTTTTTCACATAAGAAAAGTAATTGTAACATCTAGTCTAAACATGGCCCCTAATGGACCACACACTTTCTCACACCCTGTGTGGTTTCCCTCTCCACTAAATAAGTCATGGCTGGCCCAAAACTCAGTAACCAGTAGAATTGAGGCAGAAGTAAGGCCATGCCTTGATGATAACGGCAGCTTTCACTGTCTCTCTCTCGGAGTATTCCTTTAGAAGCTCTAAAACCCCAGTTATTCAGGAAGCATAGGTAGAAGGATTGCAGACCAGGCTGGCCCTAGACAAAGTCTCAAAAACCTATCTAAAAAATAGTTAAAATAAAACAGGCTGGAGGTGTGGTTCAAGTGTTAACAGACCTGTCTCCTAACCAACATGAGGCCCTAAATTCAAACCCCAATACTACCAAAGTAAAAGAGAAAGAGAGAGAGGGCGGGATGGAGGAAGGAAGGAAAGAAGGAAGGAAGGAAGGAAGGAAGGAAGGAAGGAAGGAAGGAAGGAAGGAAGGAAGGAAGGAAGGAAGAGAACCCCTTAACTGACATGTAAGAAATCAGACTGTCTGCTGGAGAAACTACATTGAGATAAAGGTGCCCTGAGATGTACAGAGAAGATGAAAAGAGAGATCATGACCCCTATGACCCAGTTGAATCCAGGTTTCCAGCCATCCCCACCAAGATATCTTGTCAGGCATTTGAGTGGGCCCTCCAGGATATTCTATCCCAGGCAAACCCCTGATGGCTGCAGCCTTGCCCCCTAGCATGTGATGCAGAAGACTGACAAAGTTGAATCACAGAATCATGAGTCATGATAAAATGGTGGTGGTTTTACCATGGTTTGTTTTTACAATAGATAACCAAAACAGAAATGTGTGTTCTTGGTAAACAAAACAAAAACAAATATATAAAGATACTCAAACTATAAAGAAAAAAACAAGATGATCACCAATACCCAAACCAGGAGGCCAGTTCTGTTAACATTTTATCATATTTCCTCCGTTTTTTTCTAGGCATACATTTTCCCACATAACTGTGATCATACTGCATAGTTTTTAGCCTGCTTTTTCTCCACATGCAGTACATTGTGAACATTTTCCAATGTCCTATGGTTCTTTAACATGTACCATTTAGGGTCCATCAGACTCCATCATATGGATGCTCCAGTTTTATTTAAACATTCTTTTGGAGAATGTTTGTATATAGTTCAGATATTTTATACTGAAACCTTTTCTGAATCTGGAATTACTTCCTCAGATTCTGGGAAATTGTATTATTAATTAAAATACATAAATTTTTATAGTTCTAGATGTATATGTTCAAACTACTTTCCAGGAACCTTGTATAATTTACCTTTAACCAGCAATGAATGAGAGAGCCAATCTCTTAGTACGTTTAATAGCAATGATCAGAATCAAGTTGGGGTTTTTTATCTTCATCAATTTCATTATCATTTTCATTTCTTTGGTCATTAGAGGAGCTGGACTCTTTCAGACTTTTAACAATCAATACTGTTACATTATCTGAATTCTTCCTATCTTTCCTACTTCCCTATGTAAGTTTTAATTCTTATGTATTACTTTGCATGAGCTTTGAAAAAACATATTCATAAGTTCTATCAGAGTATGGAAAATATTGTTTTTAATTTGTTATTTAATTTTAATTTTGCTTAACATACTGCAGTCCATATAGATGTTTTTAAGTAGGTATAATCAAGCTACTGATATTTTTCTTTCTTTTTTTTTTTTATTTTTTAATTTTGCCAGTACAGGTGTTTGAACTCAGGTCCTCATGCTTGCTAGGCTCTACTGCTTGAGCTGCTCCACCAGCCCACTGATATTTTTCTTAATGAGAAATTAAAAGTAAAACAAATTTGTTCACTTGCCCTACATAAAATAAACTTCCTATTTTGTCGGGCTTCCCTCACAATAAGAATTGGCAACTGTCCTTCCCTACCCAAAACAACAAAAAGTTAACACACCATGCTCACTGGGAGTTCCAAGTGTATACAAAGGATAAATATTTCACACAAGCTGTGAGGTTACACATTTCACTGGGGAAACACTACATAAGAAGGGCTCAGTCTTCTAGATTTAAGGCAGAAAATCTGTCGCCAAACACCCAAGCTCCATGCTGAGCTTCTGAGCACTGAGAATCTGCATGTTGAGTGAAGAAAAAGCTTCAGGTTAACACACTTATCTATGTGATTATCAATGTCAAGTGCTAACCACAGACAGCTCAGTAATCAAGGCCCTTGAGAACCAATGGCTCTCAGCCAGGGGCAGCTTTGCCCAGAAAGGGACATTTAGCACTGATGTCTTTGGGTGTCACAGCTGGGAACTGTGTGTTACTGGTATCTAGTGGGTAGAGGCCAGGGAATGCTGCTAACCATCCTACAATGCACAGGACAGACCCTCCCCTGTACAGAATTATCCATCTAAATGTCAGCAGTGCCGGCTGAGAAACTCTCTTCTTGGTCAACACAATAGGAATAAATAAATGATCTCTTACCTCTCCTGTGTAATTATATTTGCCTTTCAGAATCTTCCTGCAAAGCCTTGTGTGGCTTTCATCATCAAAAGGCAGGGATCCGCTAAGTAAAACGTATGTGATCACACCTACAGCCCACATGTCAACAGTACTGGTATAGGCTTTTCTTAACAGAACCTCAGGGGCTATGTACTCTGGAGTCCCACAGAGGGTCCTCATCGACCAGTCACCACTTTTGTTCCCAGAGTGTGCCAAACCAAAATCTGTGATTAAAATTTTCGACTCAGCACCAGGGTGATAGTATAAGAGATTTTCAGGCTTTAAGTCCCTGTGAGTTATTCTCAAAGCGTGCAAATACCTAATACCGTCAACAACCATCTGGAGGATTCTGACCGCATCCCGCTCCGTAAAGGATCCCTGAACAATGAGTCGGTCCAAGAGTTCCCCTCCTGTTGCCAGCTCCATCACCATATAGACTCGATCCTGAGTCTCAAAGATCTCCATGAGCCGGACAATGTAGCGATGGCTCACTCGCCTCAAGACGCTGAGCTCAGCCGCGCATGCTTCCTGGCCTTCCCTCCCCTGGGTTTCCATCACTTTTATGGCAAAAGGTTTCTTGGTGGTCTTCTGCTCCACCCTGACAACCTTGCTGAAACTCCCTGTCCCAATGAGAGCTTTAATGTCGTATCTGTTGGGAAGAAAATCAAAGTTATTTATCTCTGAAGTGACCCTTCACAAATATATATACATGTATTTTGTAAATCTCAGGCCTCCACTCTTGCTAGGCAGACACTCTACCATTTGAGCCAGCCCTCAAAATTATAGAAGTCCATGCTTTATTTAAGTTTATTTTATTTTATTGTTATTAGCATATTATTGTTGTACTGGGGGTACATTGTAACATTTACAAAAGTGCTTACAATGTATCTTAATTAAATTTACGCCCTCCATCATTCTCTTTTATCCTGCCTCTCCCTTTCTTAGAATAGTTTCAACAGGTCTCATTGTTCCATTTTCATATATGAGTATAAAATATTTCTATCATATTCACCCTCCTTCACCCTTTCTTTACATCCTCCCCCCATCCACTGGTCCAACCTTCAGACAGGATCTGTTTTACATTCCTGTCCTTCATTTTTGAAAAAAGACATTTTAGTTTGTCTCAGATAGCTATACAAGGAATTTCATTATGACATTTCCAAGTATGTATGTATTATAGCCCAAATTGGTTCAACCCTTTTTTTTCCTTTCTACTTTGGACCCCTTCTTATGGTGATTTCACCTTCTTTCCACTCTTCCTTTACCTGCCCCCTTCTGTTAGTGCCCTCCCCTTAGTGTGACCTGTTTTTCATTCTTGTGTTCATTGTTTAGATGTCCATTGTTCAGTGGGAATTTTGCCTTGGTATTATACCTGTATATGCATTGTGCTTAAGTCAATGTAACCCCCTTCCACTGTACTTCCTCACCCTTTTCCCCTTATCCTGCATTATTTAATGGTTTTCAGTGTTTCCTTGTGTCTTGTTCTGACACAGATGTGGTGTACTTCATTATTATTCTCTATCTTTTTCTTTCCTTCTTTTCCCTCTCTCTTAGTCTCCTCTACCAGTCCCACTTTTGGGTGCATGTTCTATATATATTTGTGTGTATATATATATATATAAAACATTGCTTGCATTTGTATTGGGCCTATTTTCCACATATGGGAGAAAACATGCAGCTTATGTCCTTCTGAGCCTGGACTAACTTCACTTAAAATGGTGTTCTCCAGTTCCATACATTTATCTGCAAACAACAAAATTTCATTCTTCTTTATGGCTAAATAAAATTCCATTGCACATTAATACACTTACCAGTAGAGGGGCATCTTGGCTGTTTCCATAGCTTAGCTATTGTGAATAATGCTGCAATAAACATGGTGTATGGTGTCTTTATTGTAACCTGACTTACATTCCTTTGGGATATCCCTAGCAGTGGTATTGCTGAATCATATGGCAATTCTAGTTTCAGTTTTTGGAGGAGCTTCCATACTGTTTTCCATAACGGTTGTACTAATTTACATTCCCATAAACTGTGTATGAGGGTTCCTTTTTCCCCACATCCTCACCAACATTTGTCCCTGTTGTATATAATTTTTTCTATCCTTATACCCCCCATTAGGATACCCTGTTTATTATTGCTCGCATTTGTTTTTCAAAGCCACTCCAAATCCTCTGTTGAAAGGGAAGCAACTGATATAAAGATAACCGGCAAATAGACTTAACAATGGCTAACATTTATTATGCACCAATAATTATTTTTTAAAAACCTGATAGGTGATACAATAATAGCTCTCTTTTTCAGATAAAAAAATTAGAGCTAAAAACAAAGAAGTGACTTGCCATGGCCCCATGTAGTGTAGGTAGAATCAATAGGATTCAAATCCAATCCCTTCAAATGTGTTTTACAAAATTTTCTCAAAGAATTTTAAGACCTCCATTTTTTTCTTTCCTTCCTCCAGCACTTGTTTTTGTCATTCCTTAACCACACCAGGTGGAGAAAAGGCTCACTCTGTTTAAAACTTCTGAAAAGAAGGAGGATTCCATCTTAGGACACGAAGGGTGCAAATAGTATCCTTCTTTGGATTACTCTGTGAGCCCAATCCCAGGCACACCTCATCCACAGCAGCTCTTAATACAGAAAAAGTAAACCTGGTTGTTCTATTATAACAGCAGTTTTCACAATTCTGATGGGAATATTGTTAGGGTCTCCCCTATCCCACTTTCCTGCATTTGCGATCTCTAAGAAATATAGTGAGTTCTCACATGGAGTAGTATGCCAATAATGTATAAAGTAATTATTTCACAGAAAGACCAGGAAATCTATTCAGATTTCAAAGGCTAGAATTCTTGATTTTGAATTTTCAGCATAAACGTCTACTTATATTTAAGAATCCTATCAAATTTATCCCTTCACCTTTATTGAAGAAATGCTGAGAAAAGAATAAACTTAAAATCCATATTTTACAGCTAGGAACAATGTTAAAGGATGATTTAACCTGATCTCTCATTGTACAAATACAGAAATTTAAAGAACAAGTTATTGAAGGCCCTGAGTTCAAATACCAGTATAGCAAACAAAACAACAACAAAGTTAGCCAATTTGTTGATTAAATTGAGGAATCTGGGACTAGAATCCAGATTCCCTTAGCTGCACCATAACTTAATGTTCTTCAAATTTCAGGGAAGGATGCCAAAGGATGAAATATACCCAGGAAGTACACAGAGGGAAGGTAATTATGTACATCACATACTCAATACCAAAGTTTCAAATGCAAATATCAATGTACTTTAAATACTCTTATTTCTTTTTAAGGAGCTTATTCTTCCTGTAATTTTTACTTTTGCCTATTTTTCCTTATATCCCTGTCCTTAGTGAATAAAAATGACATTTGGCTGGACCAGCTTACGGAAAACAGCTTTATTCTACACAGTACATTTAATTTTCTGGCCAATTACCTTATCATAACAGATAGCAATTTAGTAATCTTAAATAGATTCTTTCCTCTCGTCCCAGTCCAACTCTGCTTTTTCGTTCATGTGCAGTCCCAGTGTAATTTAGGAGATAATTGCAGGCATTTCAATTCTACTGCTTTTCAGATCAGCCAAGTTTTACATTGCATCTAATGTGAATGAAAGTTCTTTACAAATACTTATTTATCACCATGCTCTCAAAACTGCCAGCAAACTCATTTGCTCACAGAATTAATCATCAGATATCAAACAAACTACTCTTTTTGAGGCACTATATTCTTTTGCTCAAATCAAAGGAGCTTTATTCAATACTGTTAGGGGAAACTTCATGTATCAAATATTTGAGAAAAAATGCTAGCAATCTGACACTGGAAAAAACAGTGGGCTTCAAACCAAGATTTAGAGTAGTGAAATAAATGGTCTCACACTGATTAACAACCTTAGGCCATGTCCTATAACAAATTCCTGTAACTACTGACTTGCTTGGGAGTTTCTGCCGGCCATGGACATCGATCACCTATAACTGTGACCTCGTGTAGTACATAGCACAGAAGGGGCAGTAATAAATGTTGAATGGAAGAATCATAACCTGAAGACCTATTTTTTCCTGAATCATCATAAAAATTTTTAAAACATTAAGTGAGGATGGAATCTAGCAGGGGAGAACACATGACGATGTCTTTCCCTTTCCTCCCCCTCCCTCCTCCATCTCTACCTTCCACAGAGCAACCATCAAAGTCGGTTTTGTAGCTGGTGTGATTTCACATCATCCCAGAGACTGCATAAGTTGGAAGTACAACTTTAACCTCAGCTGCTACAAGCAGGGAGTTCTTGAATATGGATAGAAAAATTGAAACATACTGTAATATCATTACCTGTTGGATAGAAGCAACTGTAATAAACTCTCTAGAAGAGAATGCAGTCAGATTTAAATTCTATCATTTCTATTCTGCAAGAGTTAACATAGAACCACAATGGAGAGGAAACACAACTGTGTTCTAAGATGCAACTCTTTCACTAATTTGGACAAGTCACTTCATCTTCTGGGGCTCAACTGCTCATCAATTTAAGATGAACCTTCAAGGCTAGTGTGCAGCTTAATTGGTGGAGCAGTTGCCTAGCATGCATGAGGCCCTGGATTCAATTCTCAGCACACACACGAAAAAGCATTGAGTTAGTCTCTGAAGTCCTTAAAATGTTTAGATTCCTTTACACTATAAGTGGTGGAACTACCTGGAAGGTATGAATCAGGATGGCAGATAAAAATAAACCAGTGCAGTACTGTCTCCCTGACTACAGGTGACAAGACCCCAAATCCACTCAGATTCAAATTCAGTTGCATCAGCCAGCTTCACTCTTCTCTAAGCTTACTATCCCCAGTGGATAGTACTTGAAGTTCTCTAGGAAGCCCGGAAATGGCTCCGCATAGACTTAGACAAAGCACTGTGATGGAGTGAGCACACAGTTCTAGGAAATACCAGGGAAGCCAACTGAGCTACCCATCACCATGTCCCATCAAACGCTGAAAAGACAAGAAGAGTCCATGATTTTCTTGGTCAACATGCCCAACTTGGCTCACTCTGAGTAATTTAATTCCTTTTTATTTTTATTTTTTTGGGTTTTTTTAGAAACAGCTGGCCTTGAACTGGAGATCTTTCTGTCTCAGCCTCCCCAGTGTTAAGATTACAAATGTGTACAACCATTATCAGTTTAGGAATTTAGTTCTCAGGTCAACCATCCTGCAGTCTTTTCTTCATTTCCTACCTAGGGCCAACTAGGTATTTTCTGAAAACAATAATAAGCATTATACTGATATCTAAGTGAAGACTTGTGCCATGCATTGTGCCTATTATTTTAGCTATCTGCATGACAATTAAATAAGGAACATTATTTAAAACATTACAAAGGGCACATGGTAGAAGAAATGGGAGTGGATCTCAAGTCTATTTGACTGAAAGAATCTTATTTCTATTCCACTACCTAAAATCCTACTTTCTAGAATTAAATAGAAGACCTTTCCAAAACCAGTTCAGGCTGGATTCAAACCCAGTATGTGGCTGGCAGTTCTAGGGTTGGGAGGCTTCCTCCTTCCAGCTCCGAAGACAGGAATCCCTCTCTCTTCTTGTCCCCATCTCTGTGCTCCTTGCTTACAGATGTCAAAGAGAAATTGTATTGGACACTTAAAAAAAAATAGCAAGAAAGCCTGTATTCCAGACTATCAAAATAGGGTCAAAACGACTGCAACAGCGGAGAAAGAGTCAACTCAACTCCGTTTAAATACAAACCAAGAGATGTTTCAGGCGCTGGAGCAAGCCAGTGCTGAAGTCTTGGAGGTCGCTCTGGGACCATAGTGTATCTTAGTTGATTCTTCCAGAAGTTGGGGTCTACCCTCCCACAGACACTGGGAGATAGACACTGTCTTCCTTGAATGCAATTAAAAGGGATGGCTCCCAGGTCTTTGAAAAAGCCAGTCCTGGGTTGCAGAAGATCTGTAACTCAGAGGGGCAGAGAAAGAATTTAGGGAGGCCCAAGCTCTATAATGCAGAAGAAACCTGTCCAAAGTTTAAGCAAGCTGACGGGGACACTGAGGCAGCCTTAGTTGCTTTTATCTTTCTTAACTCAGTCCCCAGGCCAGTACCTCCTCTGTGCTTCCCCTGAGTCTTTACCTGGCGAGGACTCGGGAGTCGAACTTGGCCCTGAAGTGAGCCACCTGCATCCTCTGAGCCGCCAGGGCCACCGCCTCGGGGCCAGGCGGTGCGCCTCCCACGCTACCTTGGCTTTGACCGCCCAGCTTGACCCGGGCCAGCCCGGGCGGCTCCGAGACCACCTTCCTGCTGGCGCCACAACCCATCCCCTGCCACCTGCCACCTGCCACCTGCCACGCGCCCCGCGGCGCTGCAGGAGCGGAGGGGCTCAGAAAGGAGCGGGCTCCTTGAGACAGCCCTTTATGCGCAGAACAGCTGGGAGGGGGCGGGTCGGAACCACCTGCAGCCGGGGCAAGTGGAAAGAAACCCCCTGCAGGGTTTCTGTTAGCAAGCTAACCCCAGAATGGCCTGTCAGAGGGCCCCGATTATCGCTGACCACTTGCCTACATGTAGAATTGAACATGCTAAAAGCCAAGCGGACTAGCAGACAGGAGCCTGGCTTAATCCTCTGGGTCTAAAATCATAAGGTGGTATGAAGACTATCGTCCCTCTATGAATGTAAAATGTATGTGTGTGTTAATACATATTTAAATTCTAAGAGAGCGTATTATTTAAAGCATAACAAGTCACAGTAGTCTACTGTATTAATTAAACAGTCCTGGGTGGTCTAACACTTCATTAAATCTCCTACAGCTAGAAGAAACTTGACCTTCCCTCTCTGGCTAACCTGTCAGAGACTGAAAGGCATCAGATGTCCAGAACTCAGACAAATACCCTAGGCAGATACATGAATAATATCTGTTTTAAAAACTAAATGTATACCTTTTAAAATCCTATACATATATTATAATCTTATATTTTTAATGTATCCCATGGAGGCATTATACAAATCAATACATGTACTTTGTGAATGTGTGTATATGTATTATTACCAATATGTTTATAACTGTTCATCACTTTCATAACTATTTCATATATTGATTATATCACCATATTGGCTAGCTTTTGATATTTGTATATGTGTGGTATGTGGAAAGTGAAGTTCATTTGAGGCCAATCAAGTCAAGATCACATGCCTGGCAAGTTGGAGATGGAGGTCAAGTTTCCCAATTTCTGGTCCAGTGCTCTCTCAGTTGTACCATTTCCTTTCTAACTGTATTTAATGTTAGGTCCCCATCTATGAAGCCGGTCCACAGGGTGTGAAAGAGTTCTCAGAAAAACAAGAATTGAAATAGGAAGGGCTGGCAGAGTGGCTTAAGTGGTAAGAATGCCAGCCTAGCAAGTGCATGAGGCCTTGAGGTCAAACCCCAGTGCCACCAAAAAATAAAAATTTAAAAAAAAAATTAACCAGAAGTAAAGTTTTATTCACTTTCCAAAGGAGGAAAGGGGCCAACCTAAGAGGTAAGGGCCCAAAATGAAATTAGAGTTGGGTTTTATGCGTTTGAGATGTTGATGTTTTGGTTTTTTGGTTCAGCTAGCTGTTCCAGGAAGCAGCTGGGGTGAGCAGTTTCTTAATGTTTTGCCAAGGTGGTTGTTACCTTGTACAATCTTTTCCATGACATCATGAGGTCTAATACATTGTCAACAAGATGCAAGTGGGGTTCCACTTGAATTCAGAAAAATGGTTTCCATAAAACAAAGTAAAACAAAATGGAGTAGTTTAGGCTCATTTGAGTTGGGGGCCTTACATTTAATTTGTAGTTTGGTTTAACAAGAAATGTCTATCATGGATAAATTAATCATGGATTTCCCTGAAGAACTATACTTTGAAGGAAAATTCAAAATATGACTTGTGTATGGCTTGTAGAAAATGAGTCCATCCTGCAAAGGGAAAGTAACTCATGATAAAGGAATTTGCTTAGGGAAGAACTCTCAGTTCTCCCAACTACTAGGGGATAGAGAAGGTTGGCTCTGAGAAGATGAACTACTGGTGCTTTTGTGTCTCAAGCTTCTGAGCTAATTCTCAGAATAGGCTATGCAAGCAGAGTGGAAAAGAGATGGAAAGGGACAAAGAAGTCAAATGTCAAGATGCTATTCAAAAAACTGTATCTGTTCTCAGAGAGCCTGAAAATGAGGATTTCTTTGTTAAGTGTGGTCCAGCAAAAATGGGAAGCAACCAGATAAATTCTAACCCTAAGCAGAGGGGAAGGCACCAGACAGTTCCACAGGTAGATTGTTCCTCTGTGTGTCTGGTTTCTCCTGGCAGCACACTTCTTCATGTCCTGGCCACACAGAGGGGAAAGCTTTGTCAAGCATCTCTCCCAAATCCTGAACCATGTTGTTTGAAAATTGGCTAATAAAGCAACTGATTTAAAACCCTTTAAAAATGAAAACATTCACAGCACCACCAATTAGTTCTCTTTGGGGATGCATCAGCTATTAACTGGAAGTGTTACTGGTGACAGATTCTGTGTCTGGAGACAACACTCAACTTCCTATGTGTGTGAAACTTATACTTTCAAGGACTTGCGCCAAACTTTTTTGTTTTGTGTGTGGTCAAGATCATGTGCATGATAAATTACAGAACATGAGGCGGGGACCATGTTATGTGGGGGCAGTGGAAGAGGAGGGTTCCTACTGGGAATTGAACCCAGAGCCTCCAGCATGCTAGAAAAGCACTCTACCACTGACCTACACCCTCAGCCAGCCCTTGTCAAATTTTGAAATGTTAGAAGAATTATAGGTAATTCTTTCAATGCAGCTAATCTGGATTAGGGAAAATTTCCTAAAGTGGTATGTAACACACTCTATAATACATGGTATCCCGATATGTGTTTCTCTTTATTGCATCTAATTGCTTCATTATAGGGGAGACACCCTGAGCATAGTTTTGGACCACATGTTATTTGCTCATTAATTAACTACTTATAGTTATCTAAATTATATATTTTAACCTAATTAAAATAATAAAATTGTCAAAATGAGCTTTAGATTTAAGGTCAGTTTTAAATGAACTTTTATTTTTACATCAACATATGTATAAGAGCATGTATAAGTAGCTTCCTGTAATATTCACATCAGCTGAATAAATGGAAAAGATATTTCACACTTGGTTTTGTAAACATTATTCCAGTGGTATTTTTGGAAGATTAACTAAGTAGATTGAACCTCCAGCTTCTAAACAACAACAACAACAAAAATCTCAACAGTCACTCATTATCTAAAAGTCACAAATGTTTATTAGACAGTCAGGGGACTTTCTTCTTTTGGTTTTGTTTTGCAGTACTAGGGTTTGAACTCAGGGCCTGACACTTGCTAGGAAGGTGCTCTACCACTTGAGCCCTCCACCAGCTCTTCTTTGTGTGTGTTGGGTATTTTTGTGAAAAGGTCTGGCAAACTGTTTGCCCCAGTTGGCTTTGAACCATGATCCTCCTGATCTCTGCCTCCTGCATAGCCACCAGTGCCTGGCTGACATTCCTAATGATGTGTAATACATTGCTCTAATCACCCTTGGCCAGTTTCCATCCTATGCAATGTTAGAAGGGCACAGGTTTAAATCCTAGACTGTGTCTTGGGCATTAAAGATTCTAAACCTATAGAAAACTTCCTAGAATAACTCCCTGGATTCACAAATTATTTAATTAAGTAACTTGATTTCTAAAAGATATACTCCATAACTTACAACCCCACCCCCTAAAGAGTATTCTACTAAAAGGATTTATGCTAAATAAAAAATAAAAGGAACTATGCTAAATAAAAAATTTGTTAAAGACAGACTATTATTCAGGGGAAACTCATTTTTCTCTTACGCAAACTGTATTGGTATAAAATATGAAAAAAGTGTGTAAACATTCCTATATTCTAGTTTCTATTGTCAGGCTTTAGCATATCTCAGTAAAATAAAATGTGCAAACCAAGTAATTAAGGAAATCCCAAGGAATAATAAACTCACAAGCCATCTAATGCCACTGCATTTTATATCCTACACGGAAAAGATACAACCAAAGACTTTTTAACAGGTAACATGAAGAATTAGCTTCATTTTTAATCAGTTTCTCTTTGAAAAGTTTTAATTTTGTTGTTGTTTTTCAAGTTTTGGATCTCTTTTAGAGCCCCCCTACAGGGATTAATTTTCTCTGAAGTGATCCCCTGCCTTAAACATCAATTTGAATGCCTTCTTCTTATTCACTTCCTTTTCCCCCAAAGGTGTAGGATTTGTTTTTGTAATGACAACTAGCATGGGGGCTCTTTTAAGCCAATTTTGCATACACCACAATCTGTGGAACCAACAGTGCAAAGCTACTCTCAGAGCTTTCTTCCCATAAACAAATAATAATGAACCTCTAAGCAGGATGTCTTTGTGTGAAACTCAGAGAAGATAGGCAACTTGCTATCTTGGCAAGACTGTCTCTCACTATCACAACACTACAAAAATAGGACACAGCAATTCAGACAAGTCAGTACTACTTTTTAATTATGGAAACTATTATTCCTTCACTGAGCTATGAATACTTAATGTTCATTTGTATACCTTTACATTTAGTACTAAAGAAAGAGGATTTGGGGCTGGGGTGAGGCTCAGTGGTACAGTACTTGCCTAACATGTATGAGGACCTGGGTTCTTTCCTAGTTCTGGAGAGAGAGAGAGCAAGAGAACAAGAGAGAGTGAATTTAGTTTTGGTGGGAATTTTAAGTTTAACAAGTTATTTGTCTTAATAGCTATAAGAAAAAGATAAATATTACTACATAGAAGTAAATTGCAGGTGAAAATCACTGCTATCACACAAAACCACTAATTTGACATTTTAGTGACTCAAGCAGCCATGGTGGTAAATGAAGTTTTCCAGTTTTAGTGCATAAATTAAAAAAGATAAAGTGAGAATGTATTTCACTATATTTTAGTTGATTTGCCTAAACGATTTCTGCCTTTTCAAGTTGGCAATTTGCATCCAAAACCTTTTAAAAAATGATAGCTCAAAATATATTTAGCTACATAGAAGAATATTCACAATATGTTGCTGGGTGAAAAAAGAAAAATCTAAATAGCAAGATCTCATTTTTAGCTCACTCATGAAGAAAATGCCTATGGTAAAGAATGAAGGGAGACCTCCAGGCCACAGGCAGCAAGGAACTGAGGCTTGCTGACAACTATGTGAGTGAACCTTATCTGAGCATTGAGGTGACTGTAGCCCTAGCCCATGGAGTACAGCAGCCTCCTGAGAACTTGGCTCTGAAAGCAGACTTCCTGGGTTCAAGTCCTGGTAAGAACC